CACACTAATGAAGAAATGGTTTGACTCTAAGAAGTCAAAAGGAGAGGCAGGGGCCGACGGTGAGATACAGGGCATTATCCTGCCACTCGGGACACCTGCATCTCGTGTCACAGCCCTGACTCAGGTCCTGGTGCCTCTGGAGGCCGCAGAGCGGGGCTGGGGTCTGTGGGCCCCTCTGACGCAGGAGGAATGTCCTTCACAAGCAGGCTGCTGGCTGTGGCTGGAAAGCTGTCTCCAGACCAGCCGGCATCTGCCCAACTATAGCTTCCCGTGCTACACGTGTGACCCTGCGGTTTTAAATCACATCTTTAAGTAAAGTTACAATCTTGCACTCAGAGCTAGCAAAGGAGGGGGCTGAGCCCCCCAAGAAGACCCCCGCTATCTCCATGAGCCCCAAGCCAATCAACATACGGTATGTGAAACCCCCGTCCAATGGGCACCCCCACAGGATGGCCCAATGAGCAGACAGTGATGCCTTAAGACCCTGGGCACTTCCTCCAAGCCAGTGTCCCGTTCGGGCCCTCCACCTGGTCTCCCCTCGGACCAGACGCTTTCTCTCTCCTGCCAATCAAAAGTTTCCGCTTCTTTGCAAATGGTTTCCTGGCTTTTTATTTCTGTACTGAGCTGAGGGAAAGAACCCAGGAAGCCTGCCCCGGCAACGGCCGTCCCCTCCATGACTGGTAACACCTCTGCCTCCGGTCCAGCTCTCTGCTAATGCTCCTGGGTTCCTGTCCCCCAAGTGGGAGACCCGGATGGAGATCCTGGCTTCAGCCCAGCTTAGCTGCAGCTACTGTGGCCTCCTGGAGAGTAAGCCAGCAGATAGAAGATCTCTCTCTCTCACTCTTTCAAACAAATAAGTAAATGCTTAGACATGCAGAGGCAAGCCCAAGGTGGGAATGAGCATGGGACACAGAGCCCTTTAAGCCCCACCCGTGGTGAAAGGGGCCGGCCAACGTGTTTCTTTACGCAGTCAGCTGGGCGTGGGCCGGGTGATCCCAACACGGGGCCAAATCCTCTAAGTCTTCATGCAAAGGATGGAGACTGCTATCCACAGGAGACCGCACTCCCCCGAAAGCCTAGGAAATCCCCTTTCCATTGAGCACCGGGCTGGTTTTGCGCAAAATCTTTTCGCTGCTAGAGACGAGGGCAGACGTGCGGCCATGCTCCAGGGGCAGGGCAGAGGAAGACGGGGTCTCCCTGAGCACGGGCACACACACTCGGGGCACTCAACATGAGAAGCAAACCAAGGCTGGCGGGCCAATGCAAGAGCGACAGCGAGAGGAACGGAGCAACTCCGGAGCGGGCTTCATCGCTCAGCAAACTCCACATGCGTTCCAGGATCCCTGCGTCTCCTTCCCTGCGTCTCAGCAGGGGCTCTAAGACCACAGCTGCCCGGGTCTACACTCACACCTCCCTGCCCTGGGTTCTACACTCACACCTCCCTGCCCTGGCTCTACACTCACACCTCCCTGCATTGGGTCTACACTCACACCTCCCTGCCCGGGCTCTACACTCACACCTCCCTGCCCTGGGTCTACACTCACACCTCCCTGCCCTGGGTCTACACTCACATCTCCCTGCCCGGGCTCTACACTCACATCTCCCTGCCCTGGGTCTACACTCACATCTCCCTGCCCTGGGTCTACACTCACACCTCCCTGCCCTGGCTCTACACTCACACCTCCCTGCCCTGGGTCTACACTCACACCTCCCTTCCCTGGGTCTACACTCACACCTCCCTGCCCTGGGTCTACACTCACACCTCCCTGCCCTGGGTCTACACTCACACCTCCCTGCCCCTGGGGTCTACACTCACACCTCCCTGCCCGGGTTCTACACTCACACCTCCCTGCCCTAGGTCTACACTCACATCTCCCTGCCCCCCGGGTTCTACACTCACACCTCCCTGCCCTAGGTCTACACTCACATCTCCCTGCCCTAGGTCTACACTCACATCTCCCTGCCCCCCGGGTTCTACACTCACACCTCCCTGCCCGGGTTCTACACTCACACCTCCCTGCCCGGGTTCTACACTCACACCTCCCTGCCCGGGTTCTACCCTCACATCTCCCTGCCCCCCCAGGTTCTACACTCACATCTCCCTGCCCTGGGTCTACACTCACACCTCCCTGCCCTGGGTCTACACTCACACCTCCCTGCCCTGGGTTCTACACTCACACCTCCCTGCCCGGGTTCTACACTTACACCTCCCTGCCTCCCGGGTTCTACACTCACACCTCCCTGCCCTGGGTCTACACTCACATCTCCCTGCCAGGGCTCTACACTCACATCTCCCTGCCCTGGGTCTACACTCACATCTCCCTGCCCTGGGTCTACACTCACATCTCCCTGCCCTGGGTCTACACTCACATCTCCCTGCCCGGGTTCTACACTCACACCTCCCTGCCCAGGTTCTACACTCACATCTCCCTGCCCGGGTTCTACACTCACACCTCCCTGCCCGGGTTCTACACTCACACCTCCCTGCCCGGGTTCTACACTCACACCTCCCTGCCCGGGTTCTACCCTCACATCTCCCTGCCCCCCCAGGTTCTACACTCACATCTCCCTGCCCTGGGTCTACACTCACACCTCCCTGCCCTGGGTCTACACTCACACCTCCCTGCCCTGGGTTCTACACTCACACCTCCCTGCCCGGGTTCTACACTTACACCTCCCTGCCTCCCGGGTTCTACACTCACACCTCCCTGCCCTGGGTCTACACTCACATCTCCCTGCCCGGGCTCTACACTCACATCTCCCTGCCCTGGGTCTACACTCACATCTCCCTGCCCTGGGTCTACACTCACATCTCCCTGCCCTGGGTCTACACTCACATCTCCCTGCCCGGGTTCTACACTCACACCTCCCTGCCCAGGTTCTACACTCACATCTCCCTGCCCGGGTTCTACACTCACATCTCCCTGCCCCCCGGGTTCTACACTCACATCTCCCTGCCCCCCGGGTTCTACACTCACATCTCCCTGCCCCCCGGGTTCTACACTCACATCCCTTGCACGCATCTCCCCAGACCTCAGCTGCCCAGGTTCTACACTCACACCTCCCTTGCACACGTCTCAGCTGTTGTTTTTTCTTAAGGATGACAGTGCACGAAGGGAGGACGTCAAGGTCCCCAGGGGTCCGAGGGCAGGTCAGAGAAACGCACGTAGTTTTCCAAGTGAAGGAAGTGCAACCCAGATGCTCCTCCCAGAAGCTCCCACGGTCTCAGGGCACGTCTCTGAGTGAGGCAGGGAGGTCCTGGGGGCGGCCTCTTCCCGCACAGCATGGAGCAGGGTCCAGACCCTCCGGCAGTGGGCTGGCTGACGAGCAGCACTCCCTGGGGCCGTGTTGCCCTGGTGTAGGGACGCGTGTACTTGGTTGCTTTGGAAGCTACTCCACGCTGCCATGTGAATGTCCACACCATCCCTCCCTGAACACAGAGGCTGAAAATGGGCTAAGCCTCTGCCTGCAGTGCCCGCATCCCATGTGGGCACCAGTTCCAGTCCCAGCTGCTCCTCTTCCCATCCAGCTCCCTGCTGATGGCCTGGGAAAGCAGTAGAAGATAGCCCAAGTCCCTGGGTCCCTGCACCCACGTGGGAGACCTGGAAGAAACTCCTGGCTCCTGGCTTTGGATCGACTCAGCTCCACCTACTGCAGCCATTTGGGGAGTGGACCAGTGGACTGAAGGCATCTCTCTCTGTCTCTCTCTCTACCTCTGCCTCTCTGTAACTCTGCCTTTCAAATAAATAAATCTAAGAAAAAATGCAGTAGGAAATGCTGCCTTGTGAACCAGCTTAGGGACTCTGCTGGGGGCCACATGTCTATCCCGCTGCACCTTTGGGCCTGGGCAGGCCAGCACAGGCATGGGGGGCACCCACCAGGCCCACTGTGAGAGGGACCTGAGCCCAACACCCTGCACCACAACCCCCACTGGCTCCTGCTCTGACCAGTGGACCACAGGGTCCACTCCACAGGCTTTGGGTCTAAAAACTATGGGCTGGCTGACTGGCAACAACACTGTTGTTGTGTGATGCAACCCATCTCGCTGTCCACGTGTTGTTGTGTGATGCAACCCATCTCGCTGTCCACGTGTGCAGGGCTCTCCCACATTACATGGCAAGCAAGGATCCTCCCTCCCAGCTGCACCACTGCCTCCAGCCCGCTCCACCCACGGTGCCCTGATGGGCGCCAAGCCTGCTTCCTGGGGTGACAAACACGGGAGTGTGCCAGCCCCTCATCTGGCGAGCCAGTTCCTTAGGAGCCAAATCTACTCTTACAAGGCCAGATGGTGCGTCTGTCTGTCTGCCCAGCCATCCATCAGTCCACCCAGCCACATGTCCACCCACCCAGCTATCCATCAGTCCACCCACCCACCTGTCCACCCAGCCAGCCACCCACCCATCTATCCACCAGGCCACCCAATCTACTGGCTGTGTTTCTCTGGAAAACCCCGACCAACAGCAGCAGAGGGTGTGGACGGAGGAGGAGAAGCACTTGCTAAGCAGAAACAGGCCAGTCTTCTCGAGACCAAGAGAAAAAGGACTGGATTCAATCACGAACGGAGAGGGCCTGGATCCACCTGTGACCTCTGGGCTCTGCAGGGCGACATCACCATTCCGACTAGACAGCGTCTAGTCACCGAAATCAGGGCAGCCGCCAGCTCCGTCTGTGCACAGACATGCCCGAGAGGACCCCTGGTCAGAGAGCTGGAGTCACCCTGGAGAGGGGTGACGCGGCCGAGAGGACCCCTGGTCAGAGAGCTGGAGTCACCCTGGAGAGGAGGGGTGACGCGCCCGTCCGCAAGTGTGCACGGTGAGCGGGGCGGCCAGTGGCCCGGGGCTTACACTGCTTGGCTTTGTCCTGGTCCGAGTTGGCCTCGTCGATGGCTTGCTGTATCTCATCCAGCCACAGCACCTTGGAGACGCTCTCAGCATCCTGGGAACAAGGGCAGAGAACACATGGCACAACGGTGAGTGGTGGCGACACAGCAATGGCAGCTGCCGCTCTAGCTGTTGGCTCCCTCTTATCCCCGCACAGCTGAGCACGGCTGCCGCCTGCAGGAGCCAAGCCCCGGAACGACCACCTCACTCTCCAGGCCACCACAGACAGTCAGCCGCGCAGCAGCCCGGGCCTGTGACCGGGGCCCTGCCCATACCCTGGGAGAGGCTGACGGCCTCACGCCACACATAGCGCATCGCAGTGCACGCTGCTCGGCTTTCTCTCCCAGAGGTTCTGCGTGGCAGGAAGAAGGAAACACACACCCCCTTCAAGGGCCTGCAGGCCTCCAACGCTGTGCACAGGCCGACGCTAAAGCTGCAGCTCACGTGACTGCAGACTCCAAGTGCCAGAGAGCTACACCCCAGCCCCGGAACACGGCTGAACCCCAGCCCCGGAACACGGCTGCATCCCAGCCACAGAACACGGCTGAACCCCACCCCGGAACACGGCTGCACCCCAGCCCCGGAACACGGCTGCACCCCAGCCCCGGAACACAGCTGCACCCACACACTCAGCTCCTGACCCCACCCAGCCCCCAGAACGTGACTGCACCCATCAGCTCCCGAACACTGCCCCCCTCAGAACCAGATACTAGCTCTGGGGCTGTAGGGTTTTGTTATCACTCAGCCTCTCGTCCAAACACCACTGTCATCTCCAGCCACTCACATATTCCATCCCCCATTCTGTATCCGTGTTTCCCAGGGTGTCTGCCAATGTTCATCAGGGTGCCAAGGGATGTTTTATTTATTTAGTGAAACATTTATTTATTTAAAAATCAGAGTTACAGAAAGAGAGAGAGCAAGATCTTCCATATGTTTTTTCACCTTCCAAGTGGCTGTGATGGCCCTGGCTGGGCCACACCAAAGCCAGGAGCCGGGAGCTTCTTCCTGGTCTCCCACGTGGGTGCAGGGGCCCAAGCACTTAGGGCAGCTCTCACCTTTTCCCAGACACACTCTCAGGGAGATGGGTCAGAAGTGGAGTAGCTGGGAGTAGAACCAGTGCCCACATGAGACCATGGCTGCACCTGTTACGCCCCAGCACCGGCTCCATTAAGGAAAATTTTAAGTTTAACGGACATGTATCTAACACGGAGCAAAAACAAAGAGAAGCACAGGATGCTCTTCAAGACTCCGAGTGTGGCGAGGAGACAGGCGTGTCCTCTAACAATCGCCCTACGATGAGGTGGGTACCTCACCTGGGCCACAGGGGAGACTCCCGATTGGCCCGAGGGTCACACAGGGAGGTGGCCGCCACGGGGGAGGGGCTGCAGGCACAGGCAAGGGAGCTGCACAAGGGAAGTGGAAGCTCCACTCCCTTCTGCATGAGCAGAAACTAAGCGTTCCGGCGCAGTCTGTGCTGCGTTCCAAGAATGGGAACAGCCGCCCCTGTGGGAGTGAGCGCTGTGCTCCAGACCCTGAGCCGAGACTGACGGACGGGACGGAGGGGACCGACTCCCGCGTCACAGTCACGGGGAACCCACTCCATCCCTCGGGGCTGAAGCAGGACAGGCCCAGAGGGGCAGGCTCGCCCCCACCTCACGGGGGAGGTGGACGTGGGGCCAGGGCAGGGAGCAGCATTCGCCAGCCCCCGGGCAGGCTCACCCCGCCTCCCTGGCTGGCTGAAGTGCTAACGGAGGCAGCGGGGGACGTGGTGCTTCTTCCACAACCATCTGGAGCTGCATCTGGGGGCCCCAGCTGTCAGCAAGGTTCTTGGTCCTCCCAGGAATGCACGGGGGAGGCTCCGACAGGAAGTGAGATGGGAGGCGAAGAGCGGGGAGGCAGAAGGGACCGGGACCAGGACCGGGACCGGAAGCATCCTTTCTCCCCTCCCAAGCCCAGAGGGCGCAGAGGACGCGCCGCAGGCCTGGAGTCCGCCTCAGAGGTGACAGCACATCCGAGAAGCCAGCTAAAGAGAGGCTTCGCAAACCAAACGCCTGTGCGTGGGTGACTGCACTCACAGCACCCAGAATAACGGCTGCGAGATTTAAACACAAAACTCACAGATACCGCTCCTCACACGGGCTCAACCCAGACTGGGAAGGACTCCCCACCCGGGGCCGGCCACGCCTCCACCCCAGCCACACGGCACACGGCCAGGAGGAGCAGAGTGACCGACGGCAGCAGCCACCAGAACCAGGCTGGGTGCAGCTCGTGCCAGCACCTCCCGAACCACGGTGATTCCTATAAAAGGTTTCATTAAACAACGACTCTGTCCTTCAATGTTCTGCAACACAACGGTGTCCCAAGCAGTTTGTGTTACCATTTGTTATGTGGGTGGAGCCCTGAACACTGGCATTTTGCTTTCCAGAAAATGCAGGGTTGGGTCTGGCTGAAGCCAGAGCCTGCAACTCAATCGCTGTCGCCATGTGGGTGGCAGGGACCCACGTCCATCACGGCTGCCTCCCAGGGCGTGCAGTAGCAGGGAGCTGGAGTCGGGAGCCAGGAGCCGCACCCAGGTGTCCTGCAGGGGCAGCAGGTGCACAAGTACTTCAGCCATCACTGCTGCCCCCCAGAGATCTGGACTGGGAACGGAAGAGCCGGGACCTGGACTCTGCTCTGACGCGGAACAAGCGGCGTCTTGGACACTGTGCCAGGTTCCCGCCAGGGATTTACACTGGTTGTGGAAAGTTTGGAACACCGAGTACGGACCACATGTACTCTCTGAAAATTTAAAAACCCAAGCAGTACAGACATGTAGAAAGAACAAGAGGTCAAAGCCAAGTTCGCCTCCTGGAAACACTCTACGCACACGCCAGCCGCCCCACACGGATGTGCGCTCACTGCTGTGCAGCTGCAATGTTTTTGTGCCGGATTTGTTTTGTTGTTTGTTTTTTTGCTTAACAACAGCCGGGCCATTTTTGATCTTTTGTCACTGCCAACAGAGCTGCAATAAACATCTCCCCCACCCCTTAAAGTGCAATAATAAACATCCCTGGTCTGACAGGCGTGGGCTGCAGCCCACAGAGCAGCACCCCCCTTACCCTGAACTTCCACCCGTGTCCACGTCCCAGCCGGCCAGCCAACAGCTGGGCTCGACCCTGAGCTTCCACCCGTGTCCACGTCCCAGCCGGCCAGCCAACAGCTGGGCTCGCCAGAGCCTCTCCCAGCCAGGGGTGTCTCCTGTCTCAGATGAGGCATTCCTGGGTTCCAAAGACCACACAGAGGAGATCCTGCACCCGTGGATGTGGCAGCCACAGCGGCTGCGTCCCGGAGGTCTCGCTCCCACCGGCCACACCCTCGGCCAACAGGCTGGTGCCCTCCCAGGAGTGGCCGGGCTCTGAGGGATCCACCCATCATCAGTACAAGCTGCTCCCCTCCAGGACTCCGGCCAGGCCAGCCGCCTCTCAGGCCCAGCCCACAGCTGGGGCCACGACTCCCATCCGTGTCACACCAGCTCCCCTCACGAGTCTAGACCACGGCCGTCTCAGCCCTCTCGGAGTCGCCGTGGGCGCCTTATTTCTGCGGTACCTACACACTTCCCCCCGATGAGGACAGCCACGCCCCTGCCTCAGCAGGTCTGCAGGGACCTCGAGTGAGGACAGAGGTCACCCGAGGGCGCCATGTGGCCCTCTCACACCCTTCCTTCTTCCCTCCAAGGGGCTGCACGCTGCATGGTGTACACGGGATCCACCAGCACACACGCACACGCGCCACTGCGTGTGGGCACATGGCATCCGCCGCTGTGCACAGGCGTCCACTCAGACTGGACTGTGAGTGCTGCCCAGCCACAGCATCTGGTCAAAGAGCAGAAGCCACGGGCAGCCCGGGGCCGGCTTCCCCCTAACGGGTGGTGCAGGAAGGCAGCAGCCAGGGGCTCCGTTCTTTATCACGGGCGATGGCTGTGACGAGAAGCCCAGGAGAGTTCAGAGGAGTGGGAGAGACCCCGCCCCTACCACCCCCAAGCCTGCAAGCACTCAGGCAACCAACGTGGTGCGGCTTAGCCTAGGGAAACACGGCCAAGCTCACCCTGAGCTTCTGCGACTTGGCCTGGTAGAGGACATCCTGGTAGTGCTGGGCGTGGTCGGGGTCCACGTTTCTGATCTTCGCAGTCGGCAGCAGCAGGGCGTCCAGGGTCTTCAGAGGGTTCCCTGTGTCGATGGCCTCATTGATGTGCCCGACGGCCACGACCACTGCAGGAGGAGGGAGACGGGGTTATCACTGATGCCCCTGGTCTACACCCCTGCAGGAGGAGGGAGACGGGGTTATCACTGATGCCCCTGGTCTACACCCCTGCAGGAGGAAGGTGGGACGTCACCTCACCCACGCCCTCACTGATGTCCCCTAGTCTACACCCCTGCAGGAGGAGGGAGGTGGGTCATCACCTCACCCACACCCTCACTGATGTCCCCTAGTCTATACCCCTGCAGGAGCAGGATGTGGACATCACCTCACCCACGCCTCACTGATGCCCCCCAGTCTATACCCCTGCAGGAGCAGGATGTGGACATCACCTCACCCACGCCTCACTGATGCCCCCCAGTCTACACCCCTGCAGGAGGAGGAAGGTGGGTCATCACCTCACCCACGCCATCACTGATGCTCCCTAGTCTACACCCCTGCAGGAGGAAGGTGGGACGTCACCTCACCCACACCCTCACTGATGTCCCCTAGTCTACACCCCTGCAGGAGGAAGGTGGGACGTCACCTCACCCACGCCTCACTGATGCCCCCCAGTCTACACCCCTGCAGGAGGTGGAAGGTGGGGTGTTCCGATCGAGCATCTGATGCCTCCCACACCACGGACTGCAAGTGCTTAGTCAGGCACAGCAAGGTCGCGGGAGGCGGCACCCTCGCAGATGGCCCCTGCTGTCCTCTCTCCGCAGAGGAGATGGACTGGAAGGAGAACTCAGACCTCAGCTCCCAATAGATTCCAATCACAAATATGCCCCAATTACAACAGGAATTAACCCCCAAGAAAAGCGTCACAACGGAGGCACAAGACGGACGCCAGCAAGTACGAGACCCCACGGCCAAAGATGAAGACGAGCTGAGCAAACGCGGAGCAGGCAGCCTCCGGGGGGAGGAGGACACTGCGCCGCGGGGACCGTGCCTCGGCCTGGTCCCCAGTCAACGCAGTACCCACCCAAGTCCTGGACGCACAAGCTCAAGGTCCGAGGGAGATGCAGGAGACCAGGAACGGTCAGTGGCAGGGCAGGGGTCTTGGCCTCGTGGTTACGACGTCCACGACCCACACCGGAGGACCTGGCTGCCACGCCTCCTCTGGCTCCCACCCACAGCTTGCTGCCACTGCAGACGCTGGGCGGCAGCGGGGATGGCGCTAGTGACCGGGTTCTTGCCGCCCATGTGGGAGACGTGCATGAGTGTCCAGCTGCCAGCTGCAGCCGTGGCACAGCCTCAGCCATTGCAGCCATCTGGGGAGTGGGCTAGCAGATGGGAGCCCACCCCTCCACCTCTCTCAAATATGCAAATTAATATTATCCATAAAGGACCAAAGAAACCTTGACAAAAGGAAGAAAAGAGTGCGAAGGCGCTTCCCAGCTCCACCTTCAACGACGCAGAGTGAACTCCACTGCACAGGGAACTCTGAACAAGCACAGAACTTGGTTGCAAGGATGCTGGGGCCCGGAGCAGGAGCCCTCACGGTGTCCACACACACGGGGAGCTGGGGACCCCACCTCCACTTCTCCCATACGCAAAAGTGAACTCAGAACCCAGGCCCTAACGTAGAAGCTGAAACCACACACCCGCACGAGAACACCCAGGAGTAAATCCTCGGGGGCTGGGGCCAGCTAAGATGCCCGAAGCACAAGCCATGGACGACGTGAGAGAGATGAACGGGCTTTCTCCGAACGACAGCTGTTGGGCAGCCAGAGTCGCCACGACAGAGAGAGAACACAGCCGGGAGAGCGGGAGGAAGTGCGCGAGCGCTGCGGCTGACCGATGGCGGCATGCCGAGGGCACGGACAGCACCGAGCGCTCAGCCACGAGACACACGAGCTGCTCTCCACAGACGGGAGCGCGTGGAAAGACAACGCCATGGCACCACGAGACGCCACCGCACACTCCAGGATGTCCACAAAGATGCTGCTGAGCACACGTGGACCCCGCAGCTGCGGTCGCCACTGGAAGCGGCTGGCAGGTGCTCAGGACACAGCCCAGGGCGACCACAGGACCCAGCGAGTCCACTGCCGGCAGGAACCCACAGAGTAGAACGGCCCGAGCTGCCACCCTCTGAGGGTGACTGCGGACAGAAACGTGAGCCCCCAGCATGCAGCACGGGGCCTGGAGAGCACAGCACAGCGTGGCACGGCCTGCGTGAGAACAGACACGAGAGGCCCACGCATACAGCCAAAGGGAGGCTTTGCAGTGTGTGCCTGGATCGTTGTAAAACCACTCTGCCGGGGCCGGCGCTGTGCCATAGCAGGTAAAGCCACCACCTGCGGTGCTGGCATCCCATATGGATGCCGGTTTGAGTCCCAGCTGCTCCAATTCTGATCCAGCTCTCTGCTATGGCCTGGGAAAGCAGTCGAAGATGGCCCAAGTGCTTGGGCCCCTGACCCGCATGGGAGACCCGAAGAAGCTCCTGGCTCCTGGATCGGTACAGCTCTGGCCATTGTGGAGTGAACCAGCGGATGGAAGACCTCTCTCTCCCTCTCTCTCTGCCTCTGTGAAACTCTGCTTTTCAAACTCTTAAAATCAAAAAACAAAAACAGGGGCCGACACCATGGCTCACTTGGTTAATCCTCTGCCTGCGGCGCCAGCATCCCATATGGGCGCCGGTTCTAGTCCCAGTTGCTCCTCTTCCAGTCCAGCTCTCTGCTGTGGCCTGGGAAGGCAGCGGAGGATGGCCCAACTGCTTGGGCCCCTGCACCCACATGGGAGACCAGGAGGAAGCACCTGGCTCCTGGCTTCGGATCGGTGCAACGCCGGCCGTGGCAGCCATTTGGAGGGTGAACCAACAGAAGGAAGACCTTTCTCTCTGTCTCTCTCTCTCACTGTCTATAACTCTGTCAAATAATAATAATAATAATAAAAAAAACCACTATACCAGGGAACTGCTTAAATATAAGGAAGACGGAATTTAAAAATGTTCGTTTTGGTTAAAAAAATCTGAAACCCATGCAGGTTTTTCCTAACGGGCATTTTCCAGGGTGTTCTGAGGGGCATGCATAGCGAGGGGCACACTTCTGCGTGCGAGCGGCACAGCACGACCTCACGTAGGCAGCGGTGCTGCCCAGGTGCAGGAGCGGGAGGGCTAGTACCGAGAGGTTCGTAGATGCGCATGGCACTCTGGACGCTGCTCTACTTCAGCCCTCTGCACAGGATGCCAGAGCTGGTGGCGCGCAGTCAAGCAGTTCCCTAGAACGTGAACAGACGGGGTCAGGGTCGCGGTCCGCGCTCTGCGCTCTCCTAGAGGCAGCCCCCAGCCGGGCCCCGCGGGCGGTGCAGAGCAACCGACCATGAGCACCCGGCAGTGCAGCCTTGTTTCATTTTAAGTAATTACAGGTAGACAATCAGGGTGGCTGGCAGGTGTAGCAGCCTCCATGTGTGTTCCAGAAAACTTTTAAGGTTCAAATAGGGATGATGAACTGGACACACTGGGTTAGTAAAACAGCCTTGTGGGCCCTGACTAGGGAAGAAGCGAAGTTTCTGGTGTAATTTAGGCCTCACAGGAGGATCTCGGCTGTGAACGACAGAAGCTGGGCAACGTCAGCAGCCTGGGTTCACCCAGCGGCCACTTCCCGCCACCACCTCGCCACCTGTCACCTCGTCACACAGGTGATGAGAACGTGGGTACAAAGTGCACACTCACGTGTGGATGAACAGGAACGGGTGGAGAACTAAGCATTGATAAGCAACGGGCTTGGATATCAAATACTCTCCAGGTCAAACTTATCACTCTTCATTTTGCCAGTTATTTTTCATCAAAAACGATCACAAGTCAGTTTACAGACGTGATGTGCCATGAGACAGAATGGACACTTCTAATTTTTAAAAAGTATCCGTGTCCTGATCGTCAAGTTGAGGTAGACCATTCGGCTAAATACTCCCTGGAGAGACGACCCTTGCTAGGAATGCAAAGGTTCAGCCGTCAGAGCCAACGGCCGGCCACTTTAGTGCTGGCACGTCTGACGTGCAGGCTGGGGGAGTTCCCTGCTCGGGGTGAGCTCTGCCGCGTCCAAGGACCCTCCGATCGAGGCACCTCACGCCCCTGGGTGTCCGTGAGCGAGCACAGGTACCAGGCTGCACGCTGCGTCAGCCCAGGGTCGGCTGTCCTAAGTCCCGTTAAGCACCCCCCAGCCCCCCAGGGTCTGAGGGAGAGAACGTACACACATCCCGGGGCCGACCACCTGGCAATGAGCGTGTGTCAGCTGGCTGGACTGGGCCCCAGCTCGGGTGGGCAGTGTGCTTCTAGGAACACCCGCTGCTGAGGTCACAGTAAATGACCTCACAGCAGCTCAGAGGCCTGCCGGGTGCCTGCTGGGCACCTGCTCTCATGCTCCTGCCCGCACAGGCAGAGGGACACGGCTGAGCGGCCACTTCTCCAAGTCACTGTGACTGCCACACCCAGGCCCTGGCAAGAGCAGCGTCCCTGGAGCTCAAGGGATGGAGACGTCGGGGGGATGCCTGCCCGGGTGGAGGAGCAGAGGCCACAGGGAGACTAACTGGGGCGTGACAGTCTCCGGGCTCCCACTCCTGCACGCTGCGTCTCTGCTGTGAATTCTCTCACGCCGAGACAAGAACTTGGGATAAACCCCGCGGGGGCTCCTCCTCCGTCTGGCAGGGGTCACGCTCCTCCCAGTCACCAGACTGTGTGACTCCTGCCCGCTCTCTCAGAGCAACCGTGTACATCTTCATTAATTGTTCATTATTGATTGATTTAGGCAGTGCACACACAGAGATTTCATTCGTTGGTCCACTCACCAAACGCCTGCAACAGCCCCTGCGTGGATGGAGGCTGGGAGCCAGGAACTCCACGTGAGTCTTCCACAGGGGTGGCAGGGACCCAACCACGTGACCCATCACCAGTGCCTCCCACGGTGTGCGTGAGCAGGAAGCTGGACTCGGGAGCTGGAGCCAGGACTCGAACTCAGGCCTCTCATATGGAGGCAGTGTCTTTATCAGTAGCTTAACCACTAGGTCGGGTGTCCACCCTTGTGTGTTTTGTTTTTTTTTTTTAAATTCTTGCTTTTTAAGCAACTGTCTGTATCAGATGATACCAAACTCAATACTTCAAGAGCTTTCAACAAAAATCTTTCATTTTGACAACAGGAACAAGATCAACACCAAACACAGACAGATGAAATACTCTCGTGTGAGCTTCCCGAACTCTCACGAGGAGAGCTCAGTGTGCAATGAGCCCTGTGGCTACGGCGAATGCCCCGCCTGCCCAAAGGCGCCGGAGAATCGTGGCGGTGGCCGTGACACTGGCCCTGGAGCGCTCACGGTGGCACGGCCGCCGACACAGAAAGGCCAGAGCAGTCAAAGGTGTTTTGTCTAAAAATGCCTGCCAAAGACCACCGTCTCCCAGCTGTGGGACTGCTGCGTGTTCCTTCCTCCCTGGGAGCGCACGGGCTCCGTGTGGCGGCCAGGGAAAGCAGTGGTCCTGCTCTCAGCAGCGTCTGGGGAAGGGCCGCCCTCAGGGTGGGAGCAGCAGAGAGCCCCCTGTGGACAGACCACAGGGCTGGGGCCAGATTCCTCGCCCTGCCCTCCCCAGGACAGACACGGGCACTGCCAGCCACCACAGGGGTGGGGCCAGAAGACAGCAGGGGCCAGGTTCTTTGTTCTGCCCTTCCGAGGACAGAAGCCCCGAGAGGAAGCCCCAGCGGCTGGGTGCACTGCCCTCACACCCGAGCCCCCCAGGCTTGCCAGGGGGAGGAGGGGTGGGGGGCAGGACGCCCACACAGAGCTCTGCCCACTCGCCTTCCTGGGTGACGGTGAACGTCTGCCTCGCTGTTGACTGACATCTGGCGGGAACCCTAGGCTCCCAGGCCAGCAGAGAGCGGAGGAGGGGGCTTGAGCAAGCTGCCTGCTGTCGGCTTCCAGCTGCTTCACTGAGCGGAAGTGCAGGCAGCTTGGGGCACTGGGACAGGACGCGGCCAGAGAGGGATGGGAAGACGTGTCCAGGGAGTGGGGTGGCCACGCAGCATGGCGGACCCCTGGATCCTGCTTTGCGGTGGGAGCCCACTGAGACGGCGCTCAAAAACCGGCAAACAGAGCTAACAGGAAACAGCAGAGAAGAAGAAAACTATGCAAGTGGAATGAATCCGCCAGCTCACGGGTCTCGTCTCCAGCATGACCCCTGTGTCCCCAGTTAGAGGGCAGTTAGGAGACCAGGGCACCAGGACAGAGCTGGGGGAGCTACAGGGAGAGGTGCCTGCCTGCCTGCCCACAGTGAGCTCAGGGCAGAGGGGAGAGAGCCGGGCTGGTGGAAGGGAGGTCACAGAGCAGGGATGGGGCCCCCGCGGCTCCGCTCGGAGCCTGGGGCCGGGAGACGGCCCGCTGGTGGTTCTCACCAGGCACAGACAGCAGACGGCGGGATGCAGACAGTCACCAAGTGTCCCCACGGCTCCCACCCGCAGTCCACTGTGACAGGCTGGGCAGGTGACAGAAGGCAGAACCAGGACCGGGGCAGCGCGTCCACGCTGCAGCCTCCTGGAGCACTCAAGGCAGACCTCCACGGTCGGTGACCACAAGGCAACAGTCACCCCGAGTGCCGACGCCCTCGCTCCCGGGGCAGGAAACTGCCCAAAGAAGAGCGCAAAGTACAACTGAGCGCCCATGCAGGGGTCATGTGCAGCACGGGAGGGAAGCCTCAGGACTTCCAGGACCCCCGTGTGCACCCTGCAGTGTGCCTGAGGCCCTGGCACAGAAGCAGGCACAGAAGCTATGCAGAAGGTCACCCTGAGGCTCGGGGCCCGAGCTGACAGCTGCAGCCCCAGCTCGCGGACGAAGCTCCCCCGGACGCCGGAGCAGAGAGCTGCAGCCCCAGCACGTGGACGAAGCTCCCCCGGACGCCGGAGCAGAGGGCTGCAGCCCCGGCTCGCAGACAAAGCTCCCCCGGACGCCGGAGCAGAGAGCTGCAGCCCCGGCACACGGACGAAGCTCCCCCGGACGCCGGAGCAGAGAGCTGCAGCCCCGGCTCGCGGACGAAGCTCCCCCGGACGCCGGAGCAGCAGGGCTGCACTCACGAGCTTCCTCTTCTTGGATCTGGACGTTGACCATGTCGATGCAGTTCTGGATTTCATTCCAGCTCAGGCTCTCCTGCCCTTGGGCCGCGGCTTCCAGCTTCACCGACAGCAGCTCGCTCGCGTACCTGCCGGAGGGAAAGCGACGAGGGCGCACGTCAGGGACGCTCCGCCGAGGTGGGGACGCGGTCCCGAGCCAGCCCGGAGCTCACGGGAAGGCTTGTGTTACATCCCGAGACACCTGCTGAACGAGAGCACCTGAGCTTCCCGCCTGGCCTGGGCGAGGCTGGGCTCTGCCTGTCCCCGCACTTCCCTCCCCGCAGTGGCCAGGACACAGCTCAGCTCCTGCAGCCCTCGGCCCTTCCACCATCAGGGTCTCTGATGGAGTTTCTTCACCCTCCCAGAATGCGAGTGTCGAGAGGTGTCCCCCAGCGCAGCCCTGAAGCAGCTGGGCGACAGGAGCCTGCCCCGGGGACGCCATGCTGGGACCCTGAGGATCAGTCCCTGACCACCTGTGAGGAGCCAGGAGTGAGGACAGCCTGGGGCTCCGCCCACCTGCCACCTGCCCCTCCAGGCCTGTCTCCTGTGTCCCCACTGCGGGACATCACCCCTGACCCCAACCCTCGACCCTCCTCCCTGCACACAGCCCTATGGAAAACAGCCTTTGGTCAAACCGTAGCTATTTTTTTTTCTTGTCTGGAGAAATTTTAGGGAAAACTCTATCCATCTTGAATACTACTAAAAATCTTTCGTTTCTTAAAAGCCAATTTTACTGCTTCAGAATGACAAGGACAACTTTAGACAAAAGTAGAGAAGCCCAGGTGTTCCGCTTGCTGTCCCACCTGTCCCCCAGGGAGCAAGGAGCAGGCCTCTAGGTACACACGGGCCTGTTCTGGGGCCAGCCACAGCCACCCACAGAGCCGGGGTGGGTGGGGACAGGGCGTCCGAAACACCTGAACCAGACGTCACCCAGACGCTGGAATATTTGCGTGCCCGTTACAGGTTAAGTTCCCTTCAGCTAGAAATCTGAACCCACGAACTCCCTGGGCATCGTGTGCCCGTTCACAACACTGTGCTCTCAGAGCAGAGACGGCCTGTGATGCCAGATGAGTCTGCAACCGCGTCCTGGCTGTGACCAAGCTGCTCACAGTCCTGTGTGCCGGCAGGGGTGCTGCCACGCCTCCTGGGGTGCAGCGTGGGAGAAAACCCCTGCTCCATGCAGCAGTGGTGCTGGTGGCTCCCCGTCCCCCCACTGCAGGCCTGGAGCTGGCCACGGGCACGCTGAGAGTCAGCTCAGAAAACCTGACTGTGCCGCTAACAGCTGACGGCCAACACTCATCAGTCACAGCGGGTGTGGAGACAGGCAATGGCCAGCGTCCCTTCCAGAATGACCGTTCCACTGGGTCTCGCGGGCTTTTCATGTGCTCAGTGTCTAGGTGACGGCCGGGCAGGGCGAGGACAGGAAGCTGCAGGCGGAGCACAGGCCCACAGCTGCCCACAGCTGCCCCTGCTGTCTCAGGATGACAACCAGGGGCAGAGACGTGGTAGGAGGGGCAGGCTCCTGACCTCTGCTGTGCACCTACCCGTGACCCCTGCCCAGCTGCGGACTTGGCAAGTCCAGGGTCAGGGACGAGCAGTGCTCTGGTGTGCAGACCTCACCCCGGGGGTTACCGGCGTCCAGCGGGGGTCACCGGCGTCCAGTGGTGCTCGCTGTCTCACCAGCCTCTCCCTTGGCTCCTAATTCTGACGGGTCCACCCTCTGCCTGCGTCTGCTGCAGCGACTCACAATCGCACACACTGCCTCGGGCGCATCTCAGGAACTGGGACACAGGCACCACGTGGCCTCCGCCCCCACTGGGTTCAGGAGCCTGGCGTGGCTGCAGGAGTGCAGGCTGTGGCACAGCCATCCTATCGTGGGGTCTGTAGCTTACAGACCACCACTCGGCAGAGAAACTGAAGAACTGACCCGAGGACTGGAGCAGCCCGAGGGAGGCGCTCTGAGCAGCACCCTTATGGGCAGCAGCTCACGCCACCCTGGGTCCCTGTCACAGGGCCAGCGTTTCGGGGGCCTCTGTCCGACAGGGAGGCGTGCGAGAGACACGAGGCGGGCAGGTGGTGCCCTGTGTGGGGAGGCCTGCGGCTGCCGGGCACCGGGGGTGGCTGCCCTTACCGCTGCACGTGCGCCTCGTCCAGGTTGTTGAAGCCTGCGGCAGGGTTCCTCAGCTGGCTCTGCACCGACTCAAGGTCGTGGCTCCCCAGGGCCTGGTTCAGCAGAGCCACGGCTGACAGCATCTCCACCGCGATCGACAGCTCCTCGTGGGCCAGGTGGTTCTGCAGGACACACGTGGCACGTGAGCGCCAGTCACACCTCTCACGTGGGGGCAGAGATCTTTAGAGAGTTCTTTACTGCTTTATTTGAAAGGCAGAGCTTCAAAGAGGGAGAAACAGGGATCTTTCATCGGCTGCTTCCCTCCCCAGACGTCCACAACAGCCATGGCTCGGCCTGGCTGAAGCCGAGAGCCAGGAGCTCCACCTGGGTCCCCGACGTGGGGGCAGGACCCCAGCACGTGGGCCATCTCCCACTGCTTTTCCAGGTGCATTAGCAGGGAGTGGATCAGAAGCAGAGCAGCCGAGAATTGAACCGGTGTGCAAATGGGATGCTTGCCACACGAGCAGCGGCCAAACCCACTGCGCCACAGCGTCAGCCCAGAAGGTCAAAGATTTTCCAAAGTCAGGCCGAAAGGAGTTCCTGGCCATCAGATTCCAGGTCCTTAAAGAACAGGCGAGGGCTCCTGGGTCTCAGGCAGGGGCCCACTTTGGGGCCCATGTTCATCAGGGCCAGCAGCTGAGCCTCCCCGACACCTGTATCTCCCACGCGACCCCCTCCTGGCTGCACTGGCTGCCGTGGGCAGAGCCATCCCCCGGACTCACTCCAAGGACGAGGCCAGGTCATCCCTGCTGACCGCGAGGGGCGAGCGTGAAGCAAGGGCAAAGGACAGGACAGAATGTCGTCTAAAAGTCTCTGCCCAGACACAGGTCAGGCTCCCGGAGCCGAGGACACTGACCCAACTGCCGGAGCTTGCACTCGCCTTCTCCCAAGTCATCAGCGAGTCCAGTTCTGAGAACGCCCGAGGCAGGCCCGAGGCAGGCCCGTCAGCCCCCCGGGGGTACATGGGACCCGAGACAGGGCTGACCCTGGAGGCGCAGGCCCCCTCCCCGGGCCCCCGCCTCAGCTTCACCAGCTGACAGCAGGTGAAGAGAGAGGAGAGGGAGAGGGAGAAGAAGAGAGGGAGAGGGGGAGAGGAGAGGGAGAGGCAGAGGGGGAGAGGGGGAGGGGGGAGAGAGAGAGAGGGAGAGGCAGAGGGGAGGGGGGAGAGGGAGGGGGAGAGGCAGAGGGGAGGGGGGAGAGGGAGAGGGAGGGGGAGAGAGGGGGAGGGGGGAGAGGGAGAGGGAGGGGGAGAGGCAGAGGGGAGGGGGGAGAGGGAGAGGGAGGGGGAGAGAGGGGGAGGGAGAGGAGAGAAGGTGAAGGGAAGAGAGAGAAAGGGAGAGGGGGAGAGGGAGGAAGAGGGGGAGGGGGAAGGGAGAGGGAGAAGAAGAGGAGAGGAGAGACAGAAGGAGATGGAGAGGCGGAGAGGGAGGGGGGAGGGAGGGGGAGAAAGGAGGAGGGGAGGGGGAGAGGGAGAGGCAGAGGGAGGGGGAGAGGGAGGGGGAGGGAGAGGAGAGAAGGTGAAGGGAAGAGAGAGAAAGGGAGAGGGGAGGGGGAGGAGGTGAAGGGGGAGGGGGGGAAAGGGAGAGGGAGAGAGACAGAAGGAGAGGGAGAGGGAGAGCGGGAGGGGGAGGGGAGAGTGGAGGAGGAGAGGTAGTGGAGAAGAGGTAGACAGGGAAAGAGGGAGAGGGAGACGAGGGCGGAAGAAGGAGAGAGGGGAGAAAGGGGTGGGGGTAAGGAGAGGGAGTGTGTACTGCCCTGTGTGTCCTGAGAGTGAACATGTGTGTCTGCTCTGTGAGCTGTGTGTCCTGAGAGTGAACATGTGTGTGTGCTGTGAGCACTGTGTCCTGAGAGTGAACATGTATTCTGTGAGCTGTGTGTCCTGAGTGTGAACATGTGTATGCTGTGTCCTAAGTGTGCACATGTGTGTGTGCTGTGAGCTATGTCCTGAGTGTGAACATGTGTGTGTGCTGTGAGCACTGTGTTCTGAGTGTGAATATCCTTGTGTCTGTGCTGTAAGCAGTATGTCCTGAGTGTGAACATGTATGTGTGCTATGAGCTGTGTCCTCAGTGTGCACATGTGTGTGTGTGCTATGAGCTGTGTCCTCAGTGTGCACATGTGTGTGCTGTGAGCTGTATGCCCTGAGTGTGAACATGTGTGTGTGCTGTGAGCTGTATGCCCTGAGTGTGAACATGTGTGTGTTGTAAGCTGTGTCCTGAGTATGAACATGTATGTTGTGAGCTCTGTGTGTCCTAAGTGTGAACATGTGTGTTGTGAGCTCTGTGTGTCCTGAGTGTGAACATGTGTGTTGTGAGCTCTGTGTCCTGAGTGTGAACATGTATGTTGTGAGCTCTGTGTGTCCTAAGTGTGAACATGTGTGTTGTGAGCTCTGTGTGTCCTGAGTGTGAACATGTGTGTTGTGAGCTCTGTGTGTCCTGAGTGTGCACATGTGTGTGTGCTATGAGAATTGCTCTGAGTGTGACCATCCCTGTGTCTGTGCTGTGAGCTGTGTGTTTGTGCTCTGTGATCTGTCTCCTCCTGTCCATGGCCTGGCTCCTCTTTGGTGGACGAGTGCTGGCTCTGACTTCTAACACTTAAGTCATCCGTTGTGTTTCCTGAGAACTGTCATTTTTATGTTTGACATTCAAGTCTGACAGATGGTATGTGTGGTGAGTCACTATTTGTGAGATAATGACTACAGCTTGAGAGAATTTCATTCATTAAACGATTCTTTGCCCACCTCTCTGAACACTAGCCTTCTCACATTCTTGGTTGCCCAGCCAGACTATTCACTCGGTGTGCCTGCTTCGCTGACATCAGTACTGGCAGCCTTGCTCTTGCCCTGTCCTTACATGAATGCCACTGTTTGATATTACTAGCATATCAAGGAATGTAATTCTACAAAGCCCACAGCTATGAGCTAATGCTGTTGGTTGCAGACTTCTAGAAACGCAGATTTACATTTTATTTTTTAAATGTCAAAACATCACATATTTAAAAAAATACTTCAGGGGCTGGCATTGTGGCATTGCAGGTACAGGCACCGCCCATAATGTGGCCATCCCATGTGGGCACTGGTTCAAGTCCCAGCTGCTGCACTTCTGATCCAGCTCCCTGCTAATGTGCCTGGAAAAGCAGCAGAGGATGGCCCAAGTGCTTGGGTCCCTGCACCCACTGGGAGACCCGGATGAAGCTCCTGACATTGGCTGGGCCTAGCCATGACCACTGTGGCCATCCAAGGAGTGAACCAGCGGATGGAAGACCTCTCTCTCTCTCATTCTCTCTCCCTGTAACTCTTTCAAATAAATTGATAAACACATTCATTAAAAATTTTTAAAATACCTCAGTATTTAAAAGATTATCCAAAACTCTTCAAAGTCACACAGAGACTAGGAACAACCCCAGTCCCGTCTCCTGATGCTGTTCTCCACGTCTCTGTGTAGACAGCAGCGGGGGTGCAGGATGGGTGGACCAGGGAGGCTGGGAGTGGCACCAGCTCAAGACTCTACAAGGCCACTTCCTGTCCTAAATGCCTCCATACAGCTGGGACATGACCTGACACCGCTACAGCCGGGGTCACCTGACTGCTCCTGGGGGTGACCCTCTGACACCCGGGGTCACCTGACTTACCCTGGGCTCTGCTCCTGGGGGTGACCCTCTGACACCCGGGGTCACCTGACTGCTCCTGGAGTGACCCTCTGACACCCGGGGTCACCTGACTGCTCCTGGCGTGACCCTCTGATACCCAGGGTCACCTGACTGCTCCTGGGGTGACCCTCTGACACCCGGAGTCACCTGACTGCTCCTGGGGTGACCCTCTGACACCTGGAGTCACCTGACTTACCCTGGACTCTGCTCCTGGGGGTGATTTCTCTGACACCCGGGGTCACCTGACTGCTCCTGGCGTGACCCTCTGATACCCAGGGTCACCTGACTGCTCCTGGGGGTGACCCTCTGACACCGGCGTCACCTGACTTACCCTGGGCTCTGCTCCTGGGGGTGACCCTCTGACACCGGCGTCACCTGACTTACCCTGGGCTCTGCTCCTGGGGTGACCCTCTGACACCCAGGGTCACCTGACTGCTCCTGGAGTGACCCGCTGACACCCGGGGTCACCTGACTTACCGTGTCACTCTGTTTCTGCAGGGTGAAGAGTTCGCTTTGATACAGAGCAGCAGCAAAGGAGTAAACAGTGGGCAGCTGGGCCTCCGGTCTCATGAGGGCGAGCAGCGTGACCTCGGGGTCTCCCTCCCGAATGGCAGCATTGATGCGGTCCACCGCGGCCAGCCCTGCGGGGGTTCACAACCCGTCACAATGTCGGCTCTTCCCACCGCTGCCCAACCCGACGCACCTACTCATCGGGGACTGCAGGACCTCTGCAAAGCAGGGACGCCAGCTCAGAGATCCCAGCCGTGTCCACCGGGCAGCTGTCTGCACGCGGACCCAGCTGAGGGAGCACGCTCCAAGCCCATCTCTGTGCAGTGCGGCTTCCCCACAAAGCCCACCTCTCAGGACCAGCCCTGGCCGCACCTCTTCCCTGCAGGCTGCACACAGCCCCGCCCTGGGGACGGATCCTGCAGTCGCTCACAGCTGGGTCCGGCCCGCAGGGCGCTGTGAACCTCGCACACACCAGCAGCCTTGCCTCCTGACCCTTCCAGGAGCCGGCACCACTCACAGTGAACCCACGGCTCGCTCCCGGACACCCTGCTGCGCTGTTCCCAAGCTGGGGCTCTCTACCAGGCGAGCATCCACGTACGAGACCCGACATTCCGGGACCAAGCTGAGGCGCCCGGAACCAGCACGTTCTGCATTTCCAGGGCACACAGACGGCGTTTCTGACCCAGCGGGACAGCGAGTGATGAGTGCTGCCACCAGGCCAGAGCAAAGCAGGTGGAGCCCCACAAGGGGTGCACGTGGGCTGGTGGCCCCACAAAGGGTGCACGTGGGCTGGTGCTGGGGCACGGCAGGTGAATCCACCACACGGAATGTCTACACCCATATGGCACACCTGGCATCGAGTCCCACCTCTGCTGCCGACCCAGCTCCCCGCTAATGCACCTGGGAAGTCAGCATGGGACCACTGTCAGCCACGTAGGAGACCCCAGTGGAGTTCCTGGCTCCTGACTTTGGCCTGGCCCAGCTCTGGCTATTGTGGTCATTTGGGGAGTGAGCCAGCGGACGGAAGACCTCTCTGTTTCTCTGTAGCTCTGCTTTGCACGTCTGTGACAGGTACAGCAGCCCCTGGACTGTGGAAGTCACGCAAACCCTGGATTCCTACAGCGCTTCTGTGCTGGGCTGCTTGTCGGCCACCATGGTCCTCGTCCTTTGTGACAAGATGATGAGGGACCTAAACGTACTCACAGGGGTGTCCTTCAGCCAGGACTCAGAGATGTCACTACGAAACAGGAGACACTTAGGGCGACGGAATCCTTCAAGCCTGAAAACAGCCACTAGGGGACCGGGGGCCTAAGCACTCCTTCCACACTTAGCAGTGACATCACACAGGAAGGTCAAGGCTGGCCGCGTGCCTGTCATCCTGCTCCGGGTGCCCAAGGCCTAGCAGCCGCCACCCACAGGGCTCTCGGGAGCACCCTGCGTTCCCTGGTTCCTGCACGGCACGGCATGGACTGGGCGATGGGATGCGAATGACATCCAGGACATCACATCCGAGACCCCTACAGAAAGCACGCCTTGCAGCCATGAGGTGAGCTGCCCGTGAGCACGCTGCGTCTAACAGGATCTGCAGCCCCGCTCTTAGCAAAACGCACTGTGCGATGAGTGGGACGTGGGGGACCTGACACTTCACGACTGCACGTCGGAGCTGACGCCCCCGACAACAGGTCCTCCTGCCCTGCCAGCGCAGGGGTGCCCCCAATGACAGGTCCACCTGCCCTGCCAGCGCGGGGGGGGCGCCCCCGACGACAGGTCCTCCTGCACTGCCAGCGTGGGGAAGCCCCCGACAACAGGTCCACCTGCCCTGCCAGCGCGGGGGGTGCCCCGGCACGTGCACCCAAGAACCTGCTGGCCGGGGAGAGTCTCATCAGTCACTACTCTGCCGGATTTTCACGCATTAAACTGTCTCACTTTCATGACGTGAGTAAAATACGCCCCCCAGCGTTTTTTCACGACCACCCTTCAGTTCAGCTGGAGCCCACGTTTCAGACGGGGAGAGATGGAAGGCGTGAGGCACAGTTAGAGCCAGCACACACGGCAACACACTGCAGCGCCTCCAGCCGCTTCTGCCGTCAGTGCAATCCTCGCAATGCCTGCCGCTTAGAAATGGGGGACGGGGGTGGGAAGTGTAGCCTCCACGGCACCCCCTTGTGATCAGGAAACCGTGACAATGAACAAGGAGTTAAAGCATCCCCTAGGCCCCAACATGAAAAAGAGGACTTGTTCCAGTGGTGTGGCCAGCAACATCTCACAAAACAGAGCGGCAAACGCCGTGGCACCGCTGCCTCCCAAGCTTCTGCAGCCCCGATGTTTCCGGGGAGACTAACGCGCTCCTGGGACCCAGCACGAGGACATCTCGGCCCCGACACACAGCAGAAAGAACTGAGGATGTAGCAAGAAGAACAGAACATGAGCCTGCACCTCTACCCAGTCCCCGTAAGCTCTCTGCAGCGTGGTGGGGCACGAGCCACAGCCTCCCCCACGCGGCCACAGCAACCTGCTCTGGGCTTCTGAACACGGGGGACCCCCCCCCAGCAACGTGGAGCACGTGTCTGAGGAACACCCACCGGCGTGCATCCCTGGGGGGCGCTGAGCACAACCAGGGACACGCAGACTCGTCGGAAGGGGAACCAGGTCTGGGGCAGGCTGCCCGGTGGACACGCCCAGCTTACCCAGGGCAGAGGGGTCACCTGCTTTGCCAAGTGCACACAACAGTCTCCATAGGTTCTGATACCCACGGGGTATTTACACCCATCAAGGAGGGAGAGAAAGCTCAGACAGAAATCTAGGAGAAGTTCATTTTCATAGAAGATTGTGAAGACTAACAGAAGTACCAATGTATCTAACTTCCCGTGTGCTTGTTATAACCCCAATATCCACAGAGACAACAGAACACCACTGCATACCAGGGCCTGGACCCCAATATCACAGTGAGAACAGGGCTCCACCGCATACCAGGGCCTGGACCCCAATATCACAGTGAGAACAGAGCTCCACCGCACACCAGGGCCTGGACCCCAATATCACAGTGAGAACAGAGCTCCACCATGTATCAGGGCCTGAACCCCAATATTCACTAACAGAGCTCTACCGCATACCAGGGCCTGGAACCCCAATATTCACTGACAACAGAGCTCCACCGCATACCAGGGCCTGGAACCCCAATACTCACAGTGAGAACAGAGCTCCACCGCATACCAGGGCCTGAACCCCAATATTCACTGACAACAGAGCTCCACCATGTATCAGGGCCTGGAACCCCAATACTCACAGTGAGAACAGAGCTCCACCGCATACCAGGGCCTGAACCCCAATATTCACTGACAACAGAGCTCCACCATGTATCAGGGCCTGGAACCCCAATACTCACAGTGAGAACAGAGCTCCACCGCATACCAGGGCCTGGAGCCCCAGGATTCACCACTACAGCAGAGCCCCACACAGAGCCAGGGCACCTACTGCAGTGTTGAAGTTGTGACCCTTCATTGACCTCTCTTTCCTTAGTCCAGTAAAGGACACACGGAGACGTGACATGCAGCGTGCCTGTGACGACACAGCAAGGGGGAGTCAGTCACTGCGGGGTCGTGGCGTGGCCTGGGCGCGGGCTCAGCACACAGCTCAGGGGCAGGCGGGCGTCTGGACAGACGCTTCCCTCTCTAAGGTGGTCTTCCACGAATGCGCGGCCTGAGTTCTGCTGGGCAGCCTGCGTCAGGACGCCGTCTCCCTCCACGAGCGGTACTCACTGTTGACTGTGTTGACGTGCCCCTGGATCTCCGCTTGGGTCAGCAGTTCCTCATACGCGTCTCTCTCCTCTTCTGCAACACGGCTGTTCTGCAGAACGAAATCTTCACTGACTCCTGAGATCAGTAAAGCGCGTCTGAAGCTCAGTCAATGCAAACTCCAACAGTGACAGGAGCTGGCGCACAGGCACCTGAGCCGCGCCTGCGGTGTGCGGGGAACCCAGGTACAGGTGCCTGCGAGGCTGCACAGGGGAGCGATGGGCCTGCTGGCTTCCCAACCTGGAAGGCATGGGCTGACGTGGGGCAGCCGGGTGGCAAGTTGAGTTTTCTTTTTTTTCATTTTATTTTTTACAGGCAGAGTAGACAGTGAGAGACAGAGAGAAAGGTCTTCCTTTGCCGTTGGTTCACCCCCCAATAGCCGCCGCGGGCAGCGCATCACGCTGATCCGAAGCCAGGAGCCAGGTGCTTCTCCTGGTCTCCCATGGGGTGCAGGGCCCAAGCACTTGGGCCATCCTCCACTGCCCTCCCTGGCCACAGCAGAGAGCTGGCCTGGAAGAGGGGCAACCGGGGCAGAATCTGGCGCCCCGACCAGGACTAGAACCCGGTGTGCCGGCACCGCAAGGCGGAGGATTAGCCTAGTGAGCCGCGGCGCCGGCCAGCAAGTTGAGGTTTAAACACTGTGATGTGGCCCTGCCTCTCCCTCTCTGCCCGACACGCCCCCCTTCCCAGGATGCACCTGTCTCAGCCAAGACCCCGTCTTGTCAGTTGAAGGGCCACCTCCTACCTCTCGAACAGGGCTGAAAGCGGGGTGGGGGTGGGGGAGGGCTCTTTTCACCACAAGCCACGCGCAGAGGCGTGCCCCCTTGATGGGCAGCCGGGCGGCCCACTCGCCATGCGTGTTCCCTCTGTCACGTGGCCCACACTCCTGTGTGAACGTGTGCTTATTCTCCACTGCTAACGTAATCCTGTTACTACGTGACACACTGCTGGCCTCTGCCGAGAACTTCAATCTCTGTGAGACAGCAGCTGGCTTGCCAAGGAGGCCGTTCTCTCTCTCAGCCAGGCTGTGCCACCTGGCGCTGTCCAAGCCTCATACATCGAAGCAGCTGGACACTGGCCATGTAATTTGATTTGGTGTGATAAAATCAAGAATGCAAGCAATGAAAATCCACAGCGACACTGAACAGATTCTATAGGATTAGAAAAAGACCATCCATAAGGGACGGCAATTGAGAAAGGCCTGGAGGAAGGCTGAGGCCAGGTGAGGGAACAGATGGACACACAGGGCTTGGTCACACGGTGGAAGGCTGGCATGCCAGGCGATGACGCAGCCTGGCTGGCCGGGGCTTGCCAGAGAGATGGGGAGCCCCTGGGGGCCTGGAGGCCTTCACAGGCCGCGTTCAGGACCTGCTCGATCCAGCAGGCTCCAGAGAGTCCAGGACGTATCTAGTGGGCTGGGGTCGGAGCCGTAAAGGCTAATTCTGCCCCATGAGCCTCCAGGAGGGGCCAGCTCAGAGGACAGCAGGGCAGAGAGAGGTGTGAGGGAGGGGCTAGAAAAGCCCTCTGGGGAGGTCAGGAGAGAGATCAGAAGGGGGCAGTGGGCTCCCACCTGGCTGGAGAAGGTGGCAGTGCCCAGCCAGAGTGAGCCCAGAACCTTCAGAGCATTCGTGCTCATCCCAAGGCAGGGGCGGGCAGAGGCGGGCAGGGGATGGCAGGGGCAGCAGGCAAGGGGGCAGGCGCTCTCCAACGGGAAGGGGAGGAGGGTGACGGGACACTGAACAGCAGCCCTTCCAGACATCCCCACACGGCGCTCTCAGCCCCGATGGCTCTCCCGGTGCCTTGTGACCACTGGGTCTGATGCTGGGGCCCGCCCCGGGCGGTCTGCAGCTGCCACACCCCACTGCTTGGGCGGGGGGGGGGGACCGCCAGCCCTCCCAGCTGTGAGAAGGCAACATGGGGCCCTGCAGAGTACGGGGCTGCCTCCACCCCTGCACACACCTCAGGAGAGGGACCAGAGCCGCACCCCTGCAGGACACCTGAGTAACCACACCGAGCCCAGAGGCCCCGGCTCCTGCACAGCCGCACCCACGGCTGTACCCACCCCTCGCGGCTAAGCACCTTCAGCCTGGCTGTGTCCTCCTTCTTCTTCTTGGCTTCCCACAGTTCTCTCTGATAGCCCTCTGCAAGGCCGTCGTCCACCGCGCTCAGGACCGCGTTGGGGTTTCTTAGTGTCACAACGGTCTGCTCCGCGATGCCCTTCTCGATGGCCTCGTTGATGGCTATGACCGCGGCGTGCACTGCAGAGGACAGAGACGGCGATGGGCACCGGCAGGAAGCTGGCAGGTGCGCTGACGCCGCACGGGCTTTCCTCCTTGGCGCCCAGTAACCGTGCCAAGAACAGAGCCATCAGACCGTCACGGAGCACCTGACGACCACCCCACCGCCCAGCTGTCTTTGGTCCAAACTCAGTGTCTGCTGCCTTTGCCTGGTTCATTTACTTGTCCTGAATGGCAGAAGTGAACCAGGTACTGAGTCACCGGGGGCCAGGGTGGCCGGGTCCCTGCCCCATGGCTGGGTGGCCTGGGCAGCTGTAAAGCACCACGAGACGCCAGCAACTCAGCTGCAACCCCAGGAGACTCTGCGCTTGGCCAGACAGCAGAGGAGCGCTCTGAGACACAGAGGTTCTGAGGCGCCCGAGTTCCCGCTGCACAGGAGACGGCCACAGCCAACTGCCAGGCCACGGTGAGACAGCCTGAAGGTGACGGCCACGCCCAGGGTGCTAAGGCCTCCTCTGAACATTCATGTCACCAGGACCAAGGAAGGAAGGGGGGCAGGGCAGACTCACAGGCGGCTTCGTCCACCGACAGCTCGCTGGCTAGGATGCCGCCGATCTTGCTGAACGCCGGCATCTGTATCCCGTATTTCTCCAGTTCTTTTCTCATGTTGCTGATCTCCTCCTCTACAAAACAAAGACCCCACAAGAGACAGTCAACGACGGCCAGGGCCAGAGACGGAGGCAGAGCGAGGTGTCCCCGTCTGGGAGCGTCTGCCCTGGAAGGCGGGGGCAGCCGGCACTTCTCCCTGCACAGACGGCAGGGAGGGGACCAGGGTGAGGACAGACCAGGAGGGGAGGCGGGCCACCCTTGTCCACAGGGCGGAGGAAGGGCAATCAGCAACATCAGAGGTTTGGGAAAAAGGCACTGGCACTTTTTAGACAAGACGGCAGAGTCGTGAGGAACCGTACCTGTGAAGTCCACCTTGCCCAGCAGGTCCTGGATCTGGGGGGCTATTCCAAGTTTGAACAGATACAAACTGAAAGGCAAAATGCGAGCAATCAGAAATCACAGGTGAGACATCTCACGGCTCCTGAAGGCTTCGCTCTTCACAGCTGAGAAGGGCCTGCTAGGCATAGAGACAAGGACGCTGCGTCCCGGGGTGAGGCTGGGGCGGTGAGCAGTGCCACAGCACCAAGGCCGGCGCCTGCCTCACCTCTGGCAGAGCAGGCGCGACACACAGCGGACAGCAGGTGACACTGGCAATCGTCAGGTCCCTGGTATTCCCCAGAGGGTTCTCGTTTGACGAAGACACAGCTTGGATTGCCCGGGAGCTTTCAACCCTCCTCTAAGTATCACAATACGCCCGGGGTCCATGGCGAGACTGTGCTGGTGCAGTGACGATAAACTACGACACGCACACACCACCGTGTGGAAGATGCCCGGGGGACAGGTTCAGCCACACACCCCAGGTCCCAGCCGCGGCTGACCGGGGGCCTCGAGGGCTGGTGTCCCGGTCCCTCCAAAGCTACAGCTCTGTGCCTCCCGACTTAGTCACCAAGCCAGAGTCTCCGTTCCTCTCCAGCCCCAGGATTAATTCAGGCAACCAACTAAAATGCTCTGTGCTCTTATCAATTCTGATAGGTTTGTAATTCATGACCTTAAAAATACACATGGGAAATGGAGAACGAAGTGGACGGCTTGCAACATCTCAGTAGTTATCACAGCAGATGCCGAAGCAAGAGCCTCCGTGGGAATAAAAGAGAAAACGTCACTGCAACACAGTAAAGTGGACATCAAGCCTTCTGAATTGTGTAAAACAAACTCTTAAATCTTTTTTTTTTTTTTTGACAGGCAGAGTGGACAGTGAGAGAGAGAGAGACAGAGAGAAAGGTCTTCCTTTGCCATTGGTTCACCCTCCAATGGCCGCCGCGGCTGGTGCACTGCGCTGATCCAAAGCCAGGAGCCAGGTGCTTCTCCTGGTCTCCCATAGGGTGCAGGGCCCAAGCACTTGGGCCATCCTCCACTGCACTCCCGGGCCATAGCAGAGAGCTGGCCTGGAAGAGGGGCAACCGGGACAGAATCCGGCGCCCTGACTGGGACTAGAACCCAGTGTGCCGGCGCCACAGGTGGAGGATTAGCCTATTGAGCCGCGGTACCAGCCACAAACTCTTAAAACACATGACTAAGGGGCCAATGTTGCGATGTGGCAGGTTGGACCACAGCCTGTGCCAACATCTTATGTGGGCCATAGGCAGTTGGTGGCCCAGCTGCTTCGCTTCCGATCCAGCTCCCTGCTGGTGGCCTGGGAAAGCAGGGGAAGACAGCCCACGTGCTTGGGCCCCTGCCACCCACATGGGAGACCCAGAAGAAGGTTCTGGCTCCTGGCTTTGGCCTGCAGCCAGTTGGAGAGTAAAGCAGCGGATGGAGGATCTCTCTCTCCGTCTCCCCCCCTCATAACTCTACCTTTCAAATAAATAAATCTTTATTAAAAAAAAAAAAAACTAAGTGTAAGTAACCTGCACTAAAATTTACTTTCTTTGATCATAACTTCTGTAAAAAACAATTTCTTAGAAAACTAACACATGATCAAAATTAAAAACCAGGGATTCACAGTTTAAAAAATTACAAGGGGGCCAGTGTTGAGGTACAGTGGGCTGCGCCACCACTGGAGACGCTTGTTCCCTGTGTGAGAGTGCCGGATCGAGCCCCAGGCTTCCGATTCAGCCCCTGCTAATGCACCTGGGATGCAGGAGATGATGGCTGGTGCTTCAGCCCCGTCCCCCACATGGGAGACCTAGATAGGGCTCCTGGCTCCTGGGTCCAGTCTGGCCCAGCCCTGGCTGTTGCTGACATCTGGGGAGTGAACCAGCAGATGGAAGATCTCTCACTCTGCCTTTCAAATAAATAGTCTTTTCAAAAAATCATAGTTAAATACTAAATATCTTTCTATAAATATTTCTAATGTAAGAATGCTGTTTCTGGGTTATCTGTTCAATAAACTTCCACACCACACAGGACAATGAATTTCCTGTACTTTACTCCAGCAATTCCTGGGCATTTAAGTGGTCACTGATTTCTGACTACGGCAAACGGTGCTTCAGGAAGCTGACTTATCTGTCTTGAAATAGGCACACATTCCTCATTTGTTGCAACAGATCCCTAAAATCAAAACTGCCAGACTGAACAGGTGTGTCCACACAGAAGCTGCACTGGATCTTGTCAGAACACGCTCCCCACAAGAGGCTGCACGCACCCACTGTCGGTGGGAGGGGCTTACGAGAGGCCCCTCTGCGTGCCAGTCGGAGCGTCTGAGCCCTCCGCACCTGCTCTCCGGGAACCTGGGCTGTGGCACTGAGCAGGACTGCCTTGGAGGATCGCAACCCTACAGAGCAGGTGGCATCTTGCCCAGAAGGCACCATAAAGACCTCACGTCTTCCTGTGCTCAGGGGCCCTAGCAGGGGCGTGAGGCCAAGCCAGGCAGGCCGAGACCCACCAAAGTTCCACTCCTCGGCACCCACGGCTTCCACACGGCTGTGAGGACACCTGTGTGGTGTTGCGAAGGCTCCGCCTGGCAGGCCACCCCGGCACTGTCCTGCCAGCACGCTGACGTGAGATGGGACACAGCAGGTGTGTGCATCCGGGCGCTGAGCTGAGCCCAAGAGGCCCTGCCAGGCCGGGCCCACTCTGCCCGCAGAACAGGAGAATGAACGCCTGCTTCCTCAGCCCTGATAACCACGGCACAGCACCGACGCAGCTACCCCCAGAGTGACAGCCACAGTAAGTCATCCACTGCAGTTCCTGCTGTTGGCTGTGGGGGGAGCATCTTCCCTGCACACAGCTGCCATTATTTCTCCCAGGAATAGTAACGAATTCTTGAATTTTAAAGACGGGGTGGGGGGGGGATTACCTTTTTCTCCTTTTCCCCTTCTCCTTTAAAACCAAAGGACAAACAACCATTTTTTTCCACACACGGTAACTTTCAATCCTAAATTCCATCCTGATATTCAATCCTACACACAGGGGAGACACATTAGACTGTGACTGTTCTCCCACGTGAAGTAGCCATCACATCTTCACGTCCAAAGCTGGACAGACAGGATGCCTGCCTCGGCTCAAGTGCCAGGAACACAGACATCACACGGACGCCACAGCCTCGGAGGACTTCGTCGTGGTGGGCTGGCGCTGGACACGTCGTCACCAACAACCCTGCTCACACAGACGCTGGGCTGACACCTCCAAGACCCCGTCCACTCGCTGCTACGTCGGGAGGCTGCCCAGGTAGGAGAAACCTCCCCTCACCTGGAACGAAGAGCTTGCTCCCTTCTCCCAGCAGAAAATCCAACGGAGCTGACAGACGCGGTGAAGCGGCGAGAGGCCGCTGGCACGAGGCACGCCGTCATTCACAGGCCATCAGGACTGTACCACGTGGTTCCTCCCATGGAACCACATCCACGTTTCTCCCTCCCTTTCCACAAACTCAAGGACACACCTGAGCTAATTTACTCAGAAACCTGCTTTTAAAATTCCAAGAAAGGAATTTTGAGACTGTGACAGTAACACCTAAGCAAAGTAACATCCCTAAGTCTTCTAACCCATTTTGTATCTACATTACTTCACGTGCTCTTTTTAATGTGTATTGTCTGTGTGTAGATATATAAAACCTGCTCAAGTTGAATCTTTGACTACTACACGTATTTATGCAGCTTCCACACACACACGTGCGATGCCATGAAGAGGGCGGTTCTGCCGCCGCCATTCTGTGTCAGGTCTCCCACCGGCCCTACCCACCCACTGACTCACCGCTCATGGAAGACCTGTAACACAGCCATGCTTCTGCCTTCCGTGCAGGCCCTAAACAAATGTGTTAGCTTAGGCTGCCACCAAACACAGGCTTGCTGGCACCACGCACTAAGATGTTGACACATTAATTTCCACCTCTGGTAATGAATAATTAGGTGGCTGTTTCCAATGATCTCTTCTACTTCGCCTGTGCGTACCGTAATGTTAATGTAAATCCCACAGTGGGCAAACGCCATTGTTTACTAAACGTTACCACAAGGGGGTGCTGAGAAGCCAGCTTTCTGGGTGGCAAAGTGTTTCTTTACAAGAAAAAGATGAAGAGCCTTCACACTCATTTTAAAGGACATTCATTTTAAGCTGACTTGGGTCAGGGAGAATCCCATTTACTACAAAGTTAAAATCTTTAATAATATTTTGTAAATATTTGGTGTTGATTTTCTACATCTTTTGTTGCCGATGCTGAAGTCTGAACTCAGCCATGTGGGGGGTGCTGCCCGGCGGGTCACTCAAAAGGGTGAATGTCTGTGGGAAACTGTGTTGATCTGGGGACCCCAGGTCAGACAGAATCGGCAGCAGGAAGTGCTCCTTCCCAAGCATTAAGATCCAAAGGAAAAACAAACAAACAAACAAACAAAAATCCAGAGCCGCGGCTCACTAGGCTAATCCTCCGCCTAGCGGCACCGGCACACCGGGTTCTAGTCCCGGTCGGGGCGCCGGATTCTGTCCCGGTTGCCCCTCTTCCAGTCCAGCTCTCTGCTGTGGCCCGGGAGTGCAGTGGAGGATGGCCCAAGTGCTTGGGCCCTGCACCCTATGGGAGACCAGGAGAAGCACCTGGCTCCTGGCTTTGGATCAGCGCAGTGCGCCAGCCGTGGCAGCCATTGGAGGGTGAACCAACGGCAAAGGAAGACCTTTCTCTCTGTCTCTCTCTCTCTCACTGTCCACTCTGCCTGTCAAAAAAAAAAAAAAAAAATCCAAAGGAAGCCACCTAGCAGCTGGCGTGCACAGAAACTGAGCCCTGATCTTAGAGAGGGCAGGCGGTGCAACATACAACACGGTTCCACGGGGCAGGCGGTGCAACATACAACACGGTTCCACAGGGCTCCTGTGCACCCGGCCTACTAACCCGGTGCTGCCTCGCCGCCCACGCAGTGGAACCATCGCTGCCCGTCCAGGAAAGCACTGGTACACAGGCAGCGGACCAACAGGTACTGCACACCTGGGCGTGTGCTCAGTGCAATGCACAGAGGGGCTGGCCAGGGGGAGCGGGAGGCCCCATGGGCCCCTGTGTTCCTATTTACACATGTGATACTGGTTAAAGGCCAGGAAGCAAGCACATGTGTACAGGTGTGTGTGTGTGCAGGTGTGTGTATGCCCATGTGTGTGCATGCATGGAGGGGCACATGTGCATGCGTGTGTGCATGTGTGTGCATGTGTGCGTTGTGTGCCCCTGTGTGTGCACATGTGCGTGTGCACACATGCATGTGTGTGCGTGTGTTACACGTGTGTGCACGTGTGTGCATACATGTGTGGGCACATGTGTGCGCGCGCGCGTGTGTGTTACTGGGTGGGTGGAGCACAAGTCTCTGCTGCCCCACAGCCCGGCCCTGAACCCAGCTCTGTGGCCCGGGGCAGCCTCTTTGTGCTCCGGTTATAAAACTAAGAGCAGTGCCCACTGCACACGTGCGGCGCAAGGAGTGAGAGTCCACCTGCCGAGCACTGATCAGTGCCAGGCACCGAGTTAAAAGGGCCACAGGCTCAGCCCGTTTTTATCACCACTACTGTCCTTTGTCCAACAAACGCGTTGTCGCTCCCCCTCTTCGTGGAGGAACGACACAGGACCCTGCGCTGTTCTTTCGTCTGCTCGGCCCTCCCCGGGTTTGCTGCTGGTTCTTCCCAGGTTGGCTACTGTCCCCTCCACCTCCGTGGAAGGGCAGTTCCCCCTGGCCACATTCCCCACTTCCGCAGGGGAGCGGCACACCGCCGGCCGGCTCTCTCGGGGGCTGCACGGGGGCTGCACAGGTGTTCCCCTTAGATGTTCCTGGTGCATGCCGTCTCTCTCCTCCTTTATAGTCCTCCTCCGCCAATCCCAACTCGGCTGCCCACACGCCGAGTACGCTGCTCTCCAATCAGGAGCAAGTCCTACAGTTCATTGGTTGAACTGGAGGCAGCTGTGCGGAAGCTGTTTACTTCTCTCCCAGCGCCATATTGTGGGAGAGCAGATGCATAGAATAAGTCTTAATTCCAGTAACTCAGTCCAGTCCGGGCTGCTCCCCACACGCGTCCTGTGCACACACCCACCGACAGCCCCCAATAGGGGGCTCCCCACTGGTCCCTCTGCACCGAGAACTGCCCAGCACGCCCCTCGGGGCCTGCACGGCACTACTCGTGTCTACGGAGCCTAACCATTTGACCATTCTCCCTCCTCAGCCTCCCACGATGCTGCCAGCAGCACAGAAGTCCAGGGCTCCCTCCTCACTCCTCAAACCGCAAAGGAGTCCCAAGACGGCCCATCAGGGGCGATCAGAACCGCTAACCCTCCCCGAAGAGTGAGCAGTAAGAGCTCCAGAGACCTGCAGTTGGGATGTCGGGTGCCTGCACTGTGCGGAGACGTGGCACAGCCTCAGCAGAGGGTTCAGCAGCACACGAAGCTACTACACAGTGCAGGTGCAGGGAGGGGAGAGGAGAGGGAGTGAGCAAGGGGTGACGGGCAAGACTGGGGAGGCGCGGCAGCCGCCTCACCCTAACCTCAGACACCCCTCCTGGAGCCGGGGTCTGGGCCTGCAGCCTGTGTCCAGGCCGAGCAACGTCTGTGTCAGCACGACACGTCCCACCGCCCGCAGTCAGCTGGGGTATGCGTTCTACAGGAAGACACAGAAAGACACGCACTCCGGCCTGAAGGGTGGCTTCAAAGTCAGACCCCTGCTGTGGGCGGAGCTGGGGAGGGCCTGGCCACGGAGCAGCTGGCCAACCAGAGCTGGGACAGCCACAGCCGTTTCTAAAACCTTAGCCCCAAACGTGCACCATTTTGGCATCGACAGTGGGGACACAGGCGGACCTGGAGCAGGGCGGCCACCCTGACGCTGAGGGGGGATCCTGATGCCTGGTAGCTCTCTGGGCTGCTGGGTGAGAGTGCTGGGGACTGCGCGGTCAAGGACCCTGCACAGCAGGAGAAGCAGAGCCCAGCTCCCCAGTGTCGAACCAGGAAACCCCGCGTAAACACACGACTTCCCAAGATTCCTCGCGGGCGCTGGACTCCACGTCTCCAGCAGGAACGGTCAGGACTGGACTGGACCTCCTGCTCTGGCCACAGGAAGGGCACCCCAAGGACATCAGGAACAGTGTTATACAGACAGAGAGGGTCCCTGCTGACCCAACGGGCCAAGCTGGCTCACCAGCACCATGCTGGATCTGCCCAGGGCTGCAAGTTCAAGTCAGCAATCAAGGGGACAGACAGCCTGCAGGCAGGCAGCTGCCGCACAGACACGCAGCGGCACGGGCGTCCTGAATCGCTTTGATTTTTGCAAAGGGAGTGTTATTGAGACAGGGGTAGTTGGTCTGTCCTCCGACAGTTTATACAGTGCAGATGTGTGTCTGCTTTTGTTCTGTGTAGACTGCAGGAGGGATGGAGCCCAGGAATTCTGAGCAAGCCAACCATTCCAGAACGCAGCCAGGGTCTCCCGTGCGGCGAGGGCTGAGGACGGGGAGGGACGCAGCGGCCAGGCGGAGAACGTCCAGCACTGCTGGCCACACTCCATCAGGCACAGGGAGGCCCCGAGCCGGAGGCTGAGGGGCAAACCAGGCACGAGGCCAGAAGAGCGCTGGGTAGTCGGCCCCTCGTCTCCGGGAGACACCTCCCGAGGGCCCCGGGTTGCAAGGAGGCGTGGACCTGGCACGCACAGCCTTGAGTAATGTGGCCAGGGCAGGCCGGCAGTCCCCGCGAGAGGACAGCTGTGGCGCGAGGCAGACACCTGCTCGTGGGGCGGGGCTGGGGACAGCGGCCGAGTGTGCCAGCGCAGGGTGTCCTGAGTGAAAGCCACCTGAGCGCCACCCAGCTGCAGATGTAAGAACGTGCAGCCCAGTGTGCGGAAGCCGGGCTGACGCCGGAGGGACAAGAACCCTGCCAGAGCCACCTCCGGCTGGGGGCGGGCAGGCGGGACCGGGCCGGGCCGGGCTGGGAGCCGCAGATCGCAAGCACAGTGACTGAGCCCGCATGGGGTGAAGTGGACGCCCGGGGCCACCGCCTAAGGCAGGGCTGTGTGCCGGCGGGAGTCCCGCAGCCGGCCTGGGTGTCCGCCAACGCAGGCCTAGAAGGCACGGTGCCGACACCGCACACCGCGTGCAGCGGCCCTGCCAGGCGAGAGGCGCTGCCTTCAGGTCCCGGGGCTGCTGAAGCCACTGTCGCCATCAAGGCCGGCACTCCGGTGAGCGCCTCAGCCTGTGGGCGGACACTCGTGACCGCCCCAGAGCAGGGACACCCATGACGGCCTCAGAGCAGGGACACCCGTGACCGCCTCAGAGCGGGGACACACGTGACCACCCCAGAGCAGGGACACCCGTGACGGCCTCAGAGCGGGGACACTCGTGACGGCCTCAGAGCAGGGACACCCGTGACTGCCTCAGCACACACCCGCGGAGGGGAGCACGCGCCCCCTGCGGGACCCACTTCTTCACAACACCGTGGACTCGGATGCAGACGCGGACGTGGACGCAGACCCCGCGAGCACGCAGGCTGCAGCCCGGGCACGCACAACCCCAGCACGGACACCACGTTTCTGTGGAAAACGTGCCTCCAGCGATTGCTGTGCGCTGCCGCAGGCCGCACGGGGTCCGTCCCCAGTGCTCCGGGACGGCGGGGCATCACCCCTGGTGGCCGCCACCGCCCCGCGCGAGGCCCTCTCAGGGCGCGGCAGCCGCACGGCTCTGCGGAACGGAGCCCCGCAGCCTCCCGGTGCATGGCCGCCGCGGGAATGGCCGCTCCGGACCCAGAGGAAGGCAGGCGTCCTCCCGAAGCAGCCCCAGCGCCACTTCCAGAACCATCTTCCTGCCGCTACACTCACCGTTCCTGCATCGGTGACGCAACAGGTAATCGGTGAGCCCGGAGAGCATGGGCATTTCCCACAATCAACTTAAAACTGCTTTCCGACAGCGAGCATGAAGCGCCCTCTGCGTTTCCTCGGAATTCTACGGAACCAGAGGTCAAGAGAAACCGCCCTTCAACCGGATCTTCTACCTGATAAGAAGTAAACCTGACGATAACTCTGACAGGACGAAGGCAGACAGCGGCCCTAACGCCTGTGAACCTGCTCCCTTGACGCACGCCGCCGGGGCTTCCGCGCCAACAGCACGGTGCCAGGTGACACGGCCCTCCAGCACGGTGCCAGGTGACACGGCCCTCGCCGGTGCCAGGTGACACGGCCCTCCAGCACGGTGCCAGGTGACACGGCCCTCCAGCACGGTGCCAGGTAACACAGCCCTCCAGCACGGTGCCAGGTGACACGGCCCTCGCCGGCGCCCGGCCGTCGCAGCACGAACTCCCTCCTCACTGCACTAAAACACCCTTCATTCGTCCTCTGCTCCTGTTTTGCATTAGAATTTTTGAGAAATCAAAAGACTATTTGTCAGGTGTAAGGACTGCTTTGACCGCACAGTTATCTTAATTTTGCAACAGCAAGTTCAAAACCACTGAATGGAAGGGAAATCTTTGACGTGGCCTCAGAGCTGACATGGCGGCTTCCGCACATCCACGCCCCAGAGACCGGCGCATCCGCCCACCTCAGCGCGTGGATGCAGTAGATCATCCTCGGGATGTTCTTCCGGTCGTAGACATCTGTTGTCTCTGGATAAAATATCTGGAAGACAAGGACACAAGCATGTCGTAGGATTTGCTGTGCAACTCCACCCAGCCCAGCCTGCTGTGTCCTCGCCACCCTGCGAGTGTGGAAATGCAGAGAGACTCTGTCGCCCCCTTGTGGATGCAGACGAGTGGCAGCTGGGAACGGATGGGATGCACAGTGGCGCTCCCTGGAGTGAGGTGTCAAGTCACCGCCGCCACTGTCCAGAGGCCCCGCAGGTCTCTTTTTTCCAGCCCTTTCACACATGGCCATGCAGTCCTGTGAACAAGGGTGCAGGCAGTGCACACACACACACACACACACACACAGGCTCCGCTTTTTCTGCAGAAAGAAATACATCCTTACTGAATAAAATCTGAAACCTACACAAGCGTGCAGGCAAGTCACGTGTAACCCTGTTTCCCTGTACCACTAATCAGCACGTAGCTATTTTTTTCTGCATACCTCTGACCTTTCTGCGGATGAAGCGCTGACCAGAGCTTGACTGTGCTCAAGCCCTCTGTGACCCTGAAAGGGCGTGATGGCCAGCGGGCATCTAGGATTCTCTCACAGTCTGAGCCTAGGCTGAGCGGCTCCCACGGTTGAAAGCCGTTGCCCGACTTCCCGGCGTCCTGACCACTGCGGTCAATGTCCCTGTATTCTTCAGCACCCGCTCCTTCTCCTGGGGAATGGTCTAATGTGGGCTAGCCAGACGGAAGGTCTGACCCTCCAGGTGCTAAACGCACGTCCGCACTGTTCTTCCTAAGCATGAAACAACAGATTTCAGGGCAAGGTGCCAAACTCCCAGGCTGCTGCGCGCAAAGATGAGTCGTTAGGCTCGAAGCTTCCAACAGGAGCTGAAGCGTACTGGCATGAGCTGCCTTCAGCAACTACTTCGTAAAACCTGACGTCAACACCAGCGTGAAACCATGTGCCGTTTGGAAGCACGTGATGCTCGAGGGCCACTTCCCACTGGACTTGGAAGGGCAGACAGGGAGGAAGTGAGGCCCCTGTGCCGGCCAGCGGCCGTGGCAGAGCTCCGGGACAAGCGCCTGCAGCCAGGCGGTCTCAGGGCTGCCCGGTCTCCCTGCAGCAGTGTGGGGACGAGCGACGCCCGGCTCGGAGAGGCCCACCAGCCTTGGTGTTCTCCCACGAGGGGCGT